CCCAGACACAGGGAGACCTGCCCTCACAGCCTCCCACAACACTGATTACATCTTCTACAGTTCATATTTCATTGCTGCCTCAGAATTTGCACTCTCTGCATTCCTCTGAGGTGTTCCACAGAGCAGGTCCTAGGGCTTGTTCAGGAGATAGAGTGATGAGACTGAGTCCATGGTCATTAAACTCAGCCTGTCCAGAGGACAGTACCAGCTGTGCCCCTTATTCACCATGTATCCTAAGCAAGGACTTAAGTTCTAAGCTAATTAATAAGACAAAACATAAAATTATAAAATTCACAGATAACGTAAGCACATAGTCAAATTCAGAATTTTCTTGCACAGTAATGGTGGCGAGTAAATAAGGTACACCTTTAACCAAAGTGTTAAAAAGCAAAACTACTAAGGGTGAAAGCAGTTGCATGGCAGAATAATTGTCCAGCTTTCTATTGTCTCCAAGAAAATCCCAGTGAGCAACCATCCACAGATAAGAATGGCCCCATAACCATTGTAAAATTCAGGAAAAAAGATAAAATACCCACTTCAAACCACAAAAGTGGAAAAGCCAGGATAAAAAAAACAGGAGTGAATCCTTCTGGTTACATGGCTTCTCTCCCAAGTCAGCACAGTGTGACACAGAGAGAATTCTAGACTTGTGAGTTCTGCAGCTGCCATAGTGAACTGAAGGCAGACTTCTAGTTTCTCCTCCATTTTGGGACCTTTCACTGGAGATTCATCTTGTCTCATCCATTAGTAGCCAAATGAGTAGTAATAAAGACAGGCCACCTGGGATTAGGTAGAAACAAAAAATGAGATGAGACTATGCACAAAAAGTATATGGCTGCCTACAGTAGTGCTTCATTCTAGCCAAAGACAAGAAACTACATACCCGAACATAATCCTATAGTACCTCTTCGAAGGAAACTTGGTCCCCGTGTCTTCAGGGCTTGAACTCTGCCTGGCTTTCCCACATATTCAAGGTACTCTTGTGGAGTCTTCTTTGGTCTGATTCAAACCAACTAATGCACTAACCCAGCAGTCAGGGGCTCCAACCTGGGAGGTGCTGACCCCTGCAGTTTTGGAATTATGACACCCTCTAGGGGGGAAATCAGTGCAATCCAGATAAACTCAGAGTTTAAATTGCCTTGTATTAGAAACAGTTCCTTCCTGGAAATGTAAGATGTAGGAAAATGTGATGCAGGGTGTATAGAAAGTCATTTAATATTTTTGTAATTTTTCTGTAGATCTAAAGGCATTCTGAAATTAAAAGTGTTTCTTAAAAAATAAAGAGCAATCTAAGGTTCTGGATAAGATGATGGACTAGAGGCTGCGTCTGTGAGAGCCTGCGGAGGGATGCAGAACAAGAAGAAACAGACTACTGCAAAGAAAGGTGCACCACAATGACAAGCAAGTTGAATAAGCCTCAGAACTAGGCAGGTCCCCTGAGCAGGGCTGGGAGCTAGGCACTAGAAAGTGGCTGGCTTCCCAAAAGATAATCCTTACAAATATCTGGGCTGAGATTCCACTGTGTATGCATGTACCACATCTTCATTACCCATTCATCAACTGATGGAAAGCTAGGCAGTTTCCATTTTCTGGCTATTGTAGAGCGAGCAGCAATGAGCACATTGATGAACTGTCTCCTGCAGGATGCACAGTCCCTTGGCAATATGCCCAGGAGAGAGGCTGGTCATATGTCAGATCTAATTTTAGCCCTTTAAGAATGCTCCACACTGATTTCCATAATGGCTGCACCAGTTTGCACTCCCACAAACAGTGAATAACAGTCCCCTTTGTCCATATATTTATAAACATTCATTGTCAGAATTTTAGCCATTCTGACTGGTGTTCGATGAAATCTCAAAGTAGTTTTAATTTGCATTACCCTGGTTGCTGGAGATATTGAACATTTTACTTTGAATCATTAGATATGTGTGTTTAAACTGGAGCACCCTTAGAAGTCAGGAAACTAGTAAGGGGCCATGGGAGGGGATTTCAAGGAAAGTGGACTAGAATTTAAGTGGTATGAAGCAGGAAATAGGCGATAATGGTACAGGAAGGGTGAGTGGGGGGATGGGAGGGCAGGGTAAAGGAGGGAGTATAGGGAGGGTTAACTAACACTATAGACCTTTGAAAAATGTCATATGGAGACCTATATATAGACCTATAGAAAGTCTGCAAAATACATATGGTGTATATATTTTATGTATATGTATAGTACATATATAGTACATATATAGTACATCTATACTACATATATACTACATATAAACAGTATATATGTACATGTATATATATACAGAGTTTAAGTGGAGTTAACCTATAAAGGGATACAAGGGCAAAATTCTGCCCCCAAACACCATAGACTATCAAATGAAACACCCAGTGCCAGGTATGGATTATCTCTTTTTACTTGTTTCAGTGGATTCCTCATAAAAAACATTACGGCCTATTGCCATTGCTCTTGGTTACCCTACAGAACTTGATGGTAGAGTCTGTGACTGAAAACACCACATACTTGAGTCATAGGACATGAAGAAATCATGCTGGTACCAACCGTGAAGCCTCATCCATACTGGCTAGCTTTCATGGTGCTGGAATGTGCTATGCACACTATGGTGAAAAATAATCAACAGTACTACCCAGCTGGGAACCATGCAAACTACAGTAACAATTGGCATCAAAGACATGCTGCTGCTGATGCAATAGGGGCAGCAATGTTATTGGAGCAATCAGCAACTCTCTGTTTGGATGTAAAGCCCACTCCACAAGACAGAACCCATGCCTGGTACTATTAACTAGACCAAGAACCTGTGGCTGGCTCTGTCATAGGACCTAGGGGATAGCCTAACCACTAATGAACATAGTAGTAAATTTTCCTCTAAGTTTTTATCTTCATACCTATAACACATCTCAATCCTCATCAGAAAGGATCTTTTTATTGGCAATTAATACCCTAACCCTAATAAGTTCTCAGCTAAGTAGTAACATGGATCATAAATTACAAAATTCATGGACACATGTAGTATACACTCAAATTCACAATTCTCTTGCACAGTAATGGTGGTATATAAGTCAGGTAAGTCTTTAATGTGTGTTTTAAAAACTATTAAGAAATGACATCAAGAGGTTGGCAGACTAGTTCTCCAACTTTGTACCCCACCTCTCAAAAATCCTTAACAATGATTTGGAATAGATCCATATTTTTCTAGAAATTAAGAGTAAAATGGAATCTTTCTGACTAAATCTCTCTTCTCCAAAGCTAGGACAGCACCACACAAAAGTATTTCTCAGAACCTGTGGAGATCACAGCTGCCAAAGAGAAATGAAGGCTGACATCCACCTTCCCACCATTCTGAGACCTTCACATGGGGCTCATTCTGTCTCATCCCAAGAGGAAGTTGGGAAAGAGAAATAGAGGAATGCCATATGCAATGGAGTAAAAAAAAAATGAGGTGAGGCAATCCATCTTCTGGGCCAATATCCCAAAGAAATGAAACTCTGCGTCATAAAGATACATGCATTTCTATGTTCACTACAGTATTATTCGTAACAGCCAAGGTATGAAGTCAACCAAAGCACCCATTATTTGATGACTATATAAACTGGCATAAACATATCAAAACATAGATATATATCACTTAAATGACATATATCAAATAGTACACATTATATATTTTTACATTTATTTACATATAAAAAGTACTTGGCAGTTATAGATATATATTAGTATATGGGTTAAAAAGATACATTTTATATATACATCAGGTTCTTTATTCTATATTATATACAATATTCTATTTTAGTTAGTTTTTAATTTTAATATTTTACTGATTCTCAAGAATGTATGCAATATATTTCATTCATATTCAAGCTCAATCTCTCATCTCCAACCCAACCCCTTCTACAACTCCCTCCCCACTTCATGTCCTCTATTATATATCTTTTTTAAGGCCTACTGAGTAGAATCTGCATTCCCAACATGCTCCTGTGTGTGCTTCAATTTCATGGAGTCTAGTGAACCTACCAGGTGTCACAACACTAAAGAAAACTGATTCTCCCTTTCCAGCAGCTATCAGTGGCCAATAGATCCTCAGAAAGGTCTGAGGTTTCTTGCCCATCTCCCCCATCCATGCTGGCTTCTGTTTGCACAGGTCTTGTGCATGTGGACATAAGCTCTGTGAGTTCATATGTGCATCTACCCTCATTGAGGAAGAGGGGTCAGAAAGATTGTAAGCCTCAGAGTGGGTGGATGAATACAAGGAAACCATTCTGTCTGGACAGCACAGGGTAGATGCACATGGTGTCTAGATAACAGGGTTTCCTTGTATTCATCTACCAACTCTGAAACTTACAATCTTTCTGACCACTCTTCCACAATGATCCCCAAGCCTTGGGAAGAAAAGGTGCGATATAGGTGTCTCATTTAGGGCTGAGCACTCCACAGTGTCTTATTCTCCACACACTGACTTGCCATGGGCTTTGTGTTAATCATCATCATCTGCAAAAAGAAGCTTCTCTGCTGAACGTTGAAAGATGCACTAATCCATGATTGTAAAAAAGTCATTAGGAGTCAGTTTAATTCTATGTCTATTTGGCAGAATAATAGTACTGGGTTCTCCCCTATGGCCTGTGACCTCTCCATCCACAGGTTCTTACCTCTGATAACAGAATCAGGCATGGAAGGTATGGAGTCTATGTAGTGAAGCAGCCTTAAAACCAAGCAGATGGTGGTTAGTTACTCCCATAACATTTGGACCACACTGTACCAGGGTTTATTATGCTAGGCTGTTATTGTATCTCACAGGGTTCACAGTTGTGTAAGGCTTGATGATTACTTTTCTCTGCTAGTAAAGGTAATAGCATCTTTTAGTACTATGTAAGCTAGTGTCACCAGAGTTCTCTCTGGGTCTCTTGCGCTATCAGGCAAACCATATAACATATCTTTATGTGAATTTATTATTGTTTATGCCCTTGGGTAGGGAGGTGTAAATGGGGGAACTTACAAGGAGACAAGCACCCTTGCACGGTGGCTCAGAGCCTGCCAATCCAGACTGTTCCCGGGCCCGCCCACAGTCTCCGTTAACATTCACCCATGCATCTAGGGCCCACAGTCTCACCCTAGGTTGGTAAATGCTCCCTCTTGTGTCCATGCGAGTGAGACGCCCGGGCCATCTTTCTCTCCACACCCACCGCCACACATTCCCCATGCCCGCCGCCATGGTTCCTGGCAGCTTGCAGCTTCCATCCCAAGATGGCACCCCGCAAGCTCCTCCTTCTGTGGCTAACATTCCACAGTCAACTCTCCACAGCAGGCCCCACCCCTTGGAGGAAACAGGACCCCCGGGGAACACACTCCACCCCTTTCCTCCTCTCTTACGATCTTTCCGCCAATCTTCCACTAAGGTCCCTGAGTCTTGGAGGGGGTGACAGAGGTAGGGAGATCTCTCTTGTATTGTGGCAAGATAATAACTTTTTGGGCCTCCCCATTATTTGTCTTTAAGCCATGGTCATTGATCTATCTCAGTGGTGTTTCTTCTACTATAAAGACAAATGGAAGGAAGTAGACATATTTAAACAAACGTGAAATATAAATGCCTAGAAGATATCCCAGTAGGTGTACTATATTCATTAAACAGTATACTTGTGATGGCTTCTCCACTAGGGCCTGTAGCCTTTCTCAACACCACATGTGTGTTCCACCCCTAGGAGCAGTCTTTATCCAATCAGAAATTTTTCAGTTGCATGTATGTTGGTCAAGCCATTATTGCACTTGCAGGCATTGCTTGGTATGTCCATAGTGTGCAGCATGTGGGGTCCATCGTTGAGTAGAATCGTAGGGGAACCTTTCTTCCCCAACTACCTGCATAGTACCTTCTGGCAATATGAACGTCATCCATCCAGTGGCACAGAGTTTTTTGGCTTAGCCTCAGTTCCATCTCTTTTTCCTCTCTCACGCTCACAACATGCAGTGTCTTCAGCAACATGGCCTTACTGACCTTTCTAGTATAGAAGCGATATTAATGGCAATAACCTTGGTGAATTTGAGGACATCTAGGATCTCTCTGACCAACAGTTCATAGGGGGGCAACCCACCCCTGGTACTGTATATTTTCTTAACAGTTGTATAGTTTGGGAGTCTCTGTCTTCATCTTACCCAACCATAAAACTCCCAAGAATCTTACAGTTGTAGCTGGCCTTTGCTTCTTCAGGTATCTTTCAAGTGGGTTTTACATCTATAAAACACTCAAAGGAAGGTTAACATTGTATATTAAATCAATCATAGACAAGGTCTCACATAGCATGGAAAGGTTTTGTCCATTCGTATTTACTGTTTTCTCCCTAGCTCTTGTTAGGTACCATAGCATGTGTACAAGGCATTAATTTGGTTAGCTCTTTATCATTTTTAGTTATTCCTTTGGAGTCATTTCACACTTGGGGGATTTTACATGGAATCCCTTTTTATTTTTTTATTCTTGATACACTTACAGGGGTTGGCTCCAGTTGCCTGACCCTGCATTGGGATAAGGAGGCAGGGGGTTTCTCCTGTCCCTGCTGCACTTGTTGGTTCCCTGAGTCAGGCACGCCCTGGGTCCACCTCCTGACTGTAGCCCTATCTGTCATTTCTCCATTGATCACACCTGGCTGCTGGGGGAGAACTTGGTAGAAAAAACTGCTTCAACCCCTAGTATAGCCTTAATGAGAAGAGAAATGCATCATATTTAATCCTTGGGGATTCTTAGCCACCCCTGGGACAGTTTTTATTCTTTGAATGCCTCTTGTAAATTGTCCTTCTGGTTTTAAAGCCTTCCAGAAATTCCTTAGTACTGAATTTGGTTTTCTATCAATCTTTTCTCTGGGAATTTGGACTCTACATAAGTCTTGCCATGTTTGTCTTTGAGTAACCCAAATCTTTTATATCTCTCATAAGGTGTTCTGTTATTTTACAGACACTTTTTATATGCTGGTCAGAACCATTTAGATTTACCAAAGCCTTTCTCACGTTACAAAGACCCTGTCCTATTAAAGGGCTTAGTAAAACCAGTAAAGCCCCATACCATTCTCAAGATCTCAGTTAAATTAAGCTTTCCTTCGTATCTCTGGTGAACACTGTCTTATCCGGCCCAGTGAACTGGACATCATATATTGCTTTTCTCATACCTAGTTCTCTCAGTAATGTCTGCCCCTCCTTTATAGTCCTCCAGCCCCTGCTAATCATGTTAGTTTCCCTTAGTGATAACCAGGTCTCTTTAATGCCTTCAACCAGCCATCCCATTAAGGACTGCTCCCCCCCCCGACATTAGCCTACATTAAACAGCCTATATCGCAAGGATGGATGGGTGGTTATATAATTCAGCTGTGAAGCTTCTGAAGGACTTAGACTGACGTCATTTGCTCCCATGTCCCATACTCTCACAAGCCACGTGCTAGGGGCTCTCTTATTGCTTGCTTGTAAGTTTTTCCTAGTTTTAACAGTTCTAATATGGAATATTTCCTAGCTACAGCACTGTTAGCTTTTTTTTTTTTTTTCCTTTTGTATCAATGGTTGAATCTGAGGGGCAGCTTTAGCTACTTTTATTTTTAGGTCATTTTCCTTTTTCCTATTATCTGTCTCTTCCTCTGAGTCCTTGGACCTTACACAAGTTAAAGTGTCCCGCACTTTTTTTCTCTCAAGCTCTGCAATTGGATCTGCCAGCTCTTCCCTAGCTTTTTCAGCCTCCCCTGCCTGGGGCACATCTTTTATTATGCAAAGTGGCCAAGCCCCCTCTCTGGGTGCTCCGCTCCCTTCAAGGGTAAAAGTTTTTCTAGCCTCAGAATAACCTTTAACAAATCTTCACATACCTGCAGCATACCCCCACATTTACAACATAGCTGTGGCCCCCATGTTTCTGCATGGCTATCCTCTTTTTAGTTACAGATTTTACAATCCATTGTATAACCCACGTGACTATTGCTAACCCCATTAAGCATATGGGGTTTGATTGCCTTCTCCCCTGGGTTCCTGGCAGCTGCTCCTGGATTTGGAAATCAGAGCTCAGCTGACCCACCACACAGGCAGTGGAATCACCACTGGTTTCCCAGACCCACATCCCCATGGCTGTGGTTTGTTTATCACAGCCGGACTATGCCAATTTGTAGCCAGAGTTCTCTCTGGGTCTCTTGCACTATTGGGCAAACCATATAACATATCTTTGTGTGAGTTTATTACGGCTTATGCCCTTGGGTAGGGAGGGGGTAAATGAGGGGACTTACAAGGAGACAAGCATTAGCTCAGTATCAGGTTGATTTCTCCTTGCTTGTTCTACAGCTCATGTATGTAGTGTCTTCCACAATAGGGTCTTATCCTCTGGTTCTGGCAGATAACCAAGCAAACTGACAATAGCCATTATTATTTGGGGCTCTGTCTGAACTTCTTGGTCAACAACTCCAAAAGAGGGAGTTCACTCCTGAGAGTAGCATTTAATTTACTAGCCTGTGGTATCTAATAGGGCCATTGAAACCCTGTTATAGTGTAACTACATTTAAACTCTTTTTATATTGTCTGTGTATATATTATAAGAAGCATGTATAGTACTAGATTCCCATGGGACATTTTTAAGGTCTTTAGTGTTACTTGTCCCTCACATTACCTCCTCCTCTGCCATACTCTCCCATCCCCATCCCATTCCAACATTCATATTCCAATATTCACCTTTCCCCATTTATATTTCTGCATCCTATTTCCCCTCCCATGAACCACCATCCATGGTCCCTTATTAGTTTCCAGATGTCTAAAGGAATTTCCCATTGAAAAACACCTGCTAAAGATTCAAAGCTATCATCTATTTATGAGCGAGAACATGCCACATTTATCTTCTGGGTCTGTATTCTTCTTAAGGGCTGATAATATCCCATAGTACAAATGTGTCATACTTTCTTTATTGCTTCATCACTGATGGACATCTAGGTTGTTTCCATTTCCTGACAATTGTGAATAGAGCAGCTACTAATGTGGATGAACAGGTGTCTGTAGTAGGACACAGAGTCCTTCAGGAATAAACCCAAGAGTAGCATCACTGGACTATGTGGGAGATCTATTTTCAACTTTTTGAAGACCTTCCACACTGCTTCAATGGCTACACTATTTTGTTCTCCCATCAGTGGTGAATTAAGTGTTTCCCCTTTCCCCACATCTTCACCAGCACTTGTCATAGAAATTTTTTAACTTTGTCATTCTGATTGGGGTAAGATGAAACCTCAAAAGGTTTTAATTTGCATTTTCCTGAAGGCTAAAAATGTTGAACATCTTTTTTTTCTTTTTTTTTTTTTAATTAGAAGAAGCATTTCATTACAACAGCATTTGTACTTCAATTCTCTTATAAACAAGATTAAGAAAGACTCACTCTCTGTTGTTCCACACTCCTAGTCATAGCTGGAATAGTGGACCCATCACACTGGCGACTTTCCAAATTCCAACATTCTATTCTGGCAATCCCACACGTACAGGTCTCGCTTTGGTCATGAAATTCACACACTTACAAGACTGGTTTCTTTCCCAACCCCAGCATCCTCTCTCCTCCATCTGTGTCTAACTGCCATGTCGAACACCCCCCTCCCAAGCCCACCAGGCTTGGGTCTTCAACAAGAAGGACACTCAGGCAAAAGTTTGAAGTTATGCGAGGAATTTATTAAAGGGAAGGCAGGCACAGGTTGGAGAGAGATCTCCAGAAGGAATTCTACTTAGGGGTCCCACAGGTCCTTTTTATCCGACTTGGAGTTGGGGTTACCTAGGTGATTTTTACTAACAGAAACAAAAAAGTTACTATGGATACAGCACGTAGCTGCATCTTCCAGAAGATCTAATTTATCATACAGGTACAGCCTGTCAGCTCTGACCGCTGAAGCAGCTCAGAAGCTCTTAAAGTGGCACTCTTCTAATTTCCAATGCTTATGTCACGCATGGCTCCCGACATTTCCCCCTTTCTTTTTATACTTTTTAAGATGAAGTACATGCCAAGACTGGGATGGAAAGACCGTGCCTGTCTTAGGTCGTCCTCTACCAGAGTGAAAGCCATTGGGGGCTGCCGGTGTCCCGCTTTACTCTGGGAAGATCTTACCCGTCACTGGCTAACCAGCCTCCGGAAAGCTCCCATCAATCGGCCATGGCCTCAGGGAAGAAACCGGAAATAACGGAAATAACGCCATTGCACAGTGCCACAGAGATAGAAATTTGAATATCTATGGTTCCTGGTCCTAACGAAACTGTTCTTTATCTATTATCTATGGTCTATTTTTCTATTTTTTATCTATTATCTATGGTCTATGGTCTATGCGGGCACTGCAGGCTTAGGCTGCACAGGCCTAATTCCCCCCTCTAAGTGTAAAACAAAAGGACACCAAAGGGGAGTTGGGAAGAAGAAGGAAACAACAACCCAAGGGCACACACGGGGCACAGAAAGGGAGGTGCAATACAGGAATGATCAGAACAATGCTGCACAAATCACATGAAAAGGCCTTTAATCAAGGAGGCATTATAGTTAGTCCACATTATAGTTAAAGTCCACATGGTGGCATTATAGCCAAAGTCCAGAGCAGTAGAACGGTGGGAGCCATGCGGTGGAAACAGTCCAAAGGAAAAAGTTCAGGTAAAGACGAAGCAAAATTTCTCTCATCCACATGGGCATCTCAAGTGCTATGGCCGTTATGCAAGCATTATTTAGGTAACCAGACTGTTGAGATTTCACAGATGAAGTTTTCCTGTCGTGTCTGGAAGACACTGTCTAGCAGCAGGTTTCCTATTCCTGAGGCTCTTACAAAATTTCTGTCCCTTCTTTCACAGTGTTCCCTGAGCCTTGCGTAGGGGTTGCATTGTAGCCGTACTAACTGGGCCTGGGCAGCATATAGTCACTTATTAATTGCATTTTAACTGGTTGAGGATCTCTGTAAGAGTTTCTATCTGTTGCAAAAAGAAGCTTCCTTGGTGAGTAGTGACAGCTACACTTTTCTGTGGGTACAAGAATAACTATTTAAAATATAGGTAGAAATTGTATTGGTTTAGGCAAGTAATAGTAGTAAGTTTCCTCTAGATTCTATGACCTCACCATCTATGGCTAGGTTTGCATTACCAGGCCTAAATCTTCTCCTATTGAGTGGATCTAAGTCTAATTAGACACTATTATATCATTAATGATATCTTACTGGTCCAGTGATTGTTGTGGTTCATAAACTTTTCAGCAGGCTAGGACTACTGATTGCTTTTCTGCCTGGGCAATTTACATATCACCTTCATATGCTATGAGAGCTAGTCCTCAGGAAGGAGGCTTCTAGGCCAGTTCTGGAGAGATTTTTCTAAGTCTATGTCCAAAATGTGTGGTGTCTTCTACAATAAGATCTTACCTTCAAGTTGGGGAGGCAAACTAGGGCTGTGGCAATAGCCTATATTGTTTTGGGAATACCTTGGAATACCCCAGGTAAAACTTGAAGAAAGATTTCCCATGCCCAATATTGGAGTTATTGTTTGACAACCTGTGTCTATATACACACACATACAAACACACACATGCGTGTGTGTGTGTGTGTGTGTGTGTGCGTGCATATACATACATTCTCTTTTTCTCCTCCCCCCAACCCTCTTCCTCCTCCTTCCCTGCCCTCCTTCTTCCTTCCTTCTTCTGATCCACGCATGAAGGATCCAAGTAGGGAAGAATGGGAAGAAGGAAGGGGTCCGTTTCAGTCTAGGTTCAGATATAGATCAATGTTAGACATGTTTGGAGAAACCAAAAGGTGCCTAAGGTGGTTAAGTGAGAATGATCCTTTTCCTCAGGGGAAGAAGGGGGAACAGAGATCTGGGTGGGTGAAGTGATGTATTTGGTGCATTTTTATCAGGGCTGCTCCATTGTTCAGGACAGCCCTTCCCCCTTCTCTATCAGGCCCATTTTTCTTTGAACACTGATCTTCCTTTGAGGAAGGCTGCTGGTCTTTTGGGTAAACTGGTCCTTGTGAATATTATTTATATTTGTGCATGGGTTCATGAAGGTAATGGAAGGAGAGAGGAAATAAAGAACTGCAAGAAAAAAGTAGAGTCTGCAGTGAGGTGGGCACCTGACTAGGAGGGAACGGTGTGAACAAGTACAAAGTAGCAATTAACCACTTGAAGCTATCAGTTCAGTGGCACCTAGTACAGTTGAAAAGCTGTGAAACCACCTACTCTTATCTACTTTCAATGCCGCAAGAGGGAACACTGAGCCTGTTAAGTGGGCACCTCAGTTTCCCTCTGCTCTTCCTCCAAATCATTAGTTTGATTTCTGTCTCTATAGATTTGCCCATTCTAGCCATTGCATATAGGCCAGAATCACACAAAATGTGATTTGTGTCTGTGCATTGTGTCTTCCATCAGCTTTAAGGAAACATGAGAGCTGTGAGGTGCTTCTACAAGGCAAACGAGTCTATACATTTTACAGCTCCAGGGCCTTTGTGCCTCTCTTCCTCATCTGGACTGCTTTATTCGAGTTTCATCTTAAATGTCTATCCCAATATCACGTCCTCAATATTTTTCTTAAATAAAATTGGAAAGGAACTCAGCCATTAAGAGCACTGTTTGCTTTTGTAGAGGACCCAGGTTTGAATCCCAGCCCTACATGGCAGCTAACAACCATCTGTGACTCCAATTCCAGGGGATCAGACACCCTCTTCTAACAGCCACACGCATTGTACAATGCAGGTGCACATATACGTATGCAGGCAATCTATTCAAACACGTAAAATAATAAAAATAACTTTTTAATGAGTAAAATAGAATAAAATGGGGAGGAAGACAATACAACAGAAGATTAAAAATGAACAAGGGAATACAGAATGAAGAAAAGGTTTGAGCCTATCACTGATAGGAAGTCAGTGCATCAGTTAAGCTTATGATACATAATAATCCCCAAACACAGTGTATTAAATGTTCATTTACATAATAATTTTATAGTCTGGAAATTTGGCCTGGGACTATATTAAAATACACGGCACTTTTGAACTTCACTCAGTTCACTTAATCTCAACTAGGACTCGTCAGTGCCCTCAAATCACTTCTTAGGTCTACTTGTGCTGCCTAAGTGCTGGCCACAGTACATTTGTTTTCCTCCATGAATCCTGTCCTCCTCATGCAGACTATCTTAGGCTAATTTATACAATGACTTCATAATTATAAGTATTGTAGGGACAAAGTCTCCTTAAGCATGCAAGTTTCATAAGCACTTCTACCAAATCTATTAAATAAATGAAGCCAAAGATCTGTTCATATTCAAAGTGTGAGGAAATAAACTCCAAATTGAAAAGTTCAGACTGCTGTGGTCATTTCCACAATTTATTCTATTCACCTATACAATTTTAAGGGTGTTTCTCTAGAAGCATCTCTATGGTAATTAAGAACTTGAGCACAGAACACTCACTTTGCTAAAATAACTCCTCTTCTCCAAAGTAACCCCAGAGCCAATTTCATGTCTCTGTTCCTAAGGCTATAGATGAAGGGGTTCAGCATGGGTGTCACCACTGTATATATTATTGAAGAAATTATGTTCTTAACTTGGGAATTATTTGAGGAAGGAAAGAAATAAATAATTGCAAGAGTCCCATAGTATAAAAATACAAGGAAGAGGTGAGAGCCACAGGTAGACAGAACTTTGCAGAACTTCTTAGTAGAGGGGAACTTTGAGACGGTAAAACTAATGCAGATGTAAGAACCCAAAATAGTACCCAGTGGCAGGAGAGTCAATACTCCTCCCTCAGTGAAGATGACTAGCTCATTGAGGGAGGTATCTGAGCAAGTAAGCTTCAGGAGTTCATTGAGATCACAGAAAAAGTGGGGGATAGTGTTGTCAGCACAGAAGGACAGGCAGGACAGGAGCAGGGTATGCAGAAGGGCATGTATACAAGGAAAAAACCAGCACCCAGCCACCAATAAGTCACACAGCTCCTCCCTCATGATAACCATGTAGTGCAGTGGGTGGCAGATGGCCACATAGCTGTAATACGCCATCACTCCAAGAAGAAAATTGTCAACACATACAAAAAGTAAGAAAAAATACATTTGAGTGATGCACCCCTCATAAGGGATGGACAGGTGCTGAGTCTGCATGTTGCTGAGCATCTTTGGGATGGTGACAGATGATAAGGAGATGTCGGAGAAGGCCAGGTGGCACAGGAAGAAGTACATGGGGGTGTGGAGGCGAGAGTCCAGCCTGATGAGCAGGATGATGAGCAGGTTCCCCAGCACCGTGGTCAGGTACATGGTCAGGAACAGTGTGAAGAAGATGCCCTGCTGCTCTGGCTGGATGGGGAGCCCCAGGAGGATAAACTCAGACACACTACTCTGGTTGCCCCTCCTCATGGTCATCTTCCTGCTGGGAATGGAGGGAGAAGGACATGTCAGAGTCCTGAGACCCTCACCAGGTAGATATAACATGCATGCTTTTTTCCAGCTGACTGAATAAAAATTCATATAAACTGTACACTTTGCAGTCTGAACCTTACATTGGACTCATACTAAATACCAGAGAAGATATTTCCAACGTTAACAAGATTCCCTTCAAGAATGAATGCAAATCTGTTCACTTATTCACACATGTTCCATACAGTATTTTCAATTTTGAAAATATAATAGATAATAAGATTCCCTCATAAAATATTGAGCAAGAGCTATGGCTTTGATGATCAAGAACTAAGACTCCCAGGAGGCTTAAGATGCTTCTACCTTAGAAGTTAACTTCGTCCATGACTTTCAGAAGGTTTTGCTGTGTGTTCCTAAGTTTTCTCTCTGAGAAAGTAATAACACTATTATCTAGCTATATGAATTTGGGGAAATCTATGTTAATGCATGTAATAATCTTAGAAGAGATCTCTACACATAGCCGTATTTAGTCATGTGAGGTGCTAGAGTAGACAAGTTCAGCAGAAAATCTAGTATCAAAATCCTGGAGATCTGAAAAACAGAACAATGAGAGGAACATTGGATGAGACCGGTTACTGGCATAAAAAATATCATTAACCTCCAGGAATTTCATAGTACCTGAGGATTCAGTGAGACAGATCCTGAGCCATGGGGATTAACTCCCTGACAGCAGCAATTACAGCAGTAGCATTATCTCTTATTATCACTGTCTTTCTCTCTCTCATCTCCATCCCTATCTGCCCATATCCACGTCTTCCTCTCTCCCTGTGTCCTTCCCCTTCTTCTTCCTTCCTTCCATCCTTCTTCTGCTTTCTCTTCACTTCTCTCCCTCTCTCTTAATACAAGGATGCATTCACAGTAACTGACTTGAGATTTTTCCCCAGGAAATTTCATATACCAGGCACCTATGAACTTTATCATGATGATGGATTTTGAGAGTCTTTTCAAACTATTGTTAACTATTGGGTTCAAGTCACCAAATTAATACCTGATGCTGTCATGGTCCCAGGCTCTGTCAATATGACCAGAGCCATGCTTGTCACCATTCCACTGGTCCTACACCTGCAATCATTTGTTAGAAAATCCAGGATGGGTGTGGCATTGCAAACCTGTAATCCTCGCAGTTAATGAAGCCTAGGCAGAAGGATCATGACTTTGAAGCTGGCATTAGCTATGCATTGAGTTCTGGACCAGCCTCAGTAAGTTAAAGAGACCCTACTTCAAAAATGACAGAGAGAGAGAGAGAGAGAGCAAGAAACAGAGAAAGAGAAGAAAAGTTCTCGTCAAACCTGAATCAAAAAATTTCATGGTTTCAAAGTTATAGCATGCCACCTTCTTGATGATCTGCTAATATTCATATATAAGATGATTCTGCAGCTGGAGAGATGGCTGAGCAGTTAAGAACATTGGCTGATCTTGCAGAAGATCCAGGTTTGAATTCCAGCACCCACATAACAGTAACAATTGTCCATAACTCCAGTCCCAGGAGATCCGACAGTGTCTTCTGACCTCCGCGGGCATTGCATGACGTGGGTGCACATATTACCTATGTGCAGGCAATACACACATACACATAAAATAAAAATAATTTTTTAAAAATTTGAAAAAAGATGAATGTGTAGTTTACTATGTACTCTCATGTTTGAACACTGAGAATAGAAAATGAAGTTATGTAATAACAATGTGTGTATGACAGGTCTACATATGTCTCTACCATAGTTCAACATCAAGCCTTTCCTAGGCAAACCAGAATGTGCATTCACTAACATTAAATAAGACATTAAATTGCAACATTTATGTGATTTAATTCCAATAGGCAGAAAATTACTAAGTATCTAGAAAGCAGACATTCCATTGGGGTTTTTTCATGTTCTTTGTGTAAAAACACAGGTGTGAAGCCATATAACGAAGTCTCGTAACCCTCGGTAGATCCTTATCCCAAGCATGGAACAGTTCTTTGAAAGACAGCTTGGTACCTTATCCACTCAGAGTTAAATCACAATCACAGATCACATACAGAAGCCCAGGAAAATAAATCCAGAGAATGGCCATCACTCCAAGGCCCAGGTACCTGGTAAGGAACCTCTAAAAAGGGGAAAAAGGGGCAGAGAGGGGCAAGTGGTCATCTCAGTCAGTGGGAAAGAGGAAGAACACAGTAATTTAACCTCCAGTGAGGTCTAATAACACACTGCATTTACTAATTCAAAATGTTCGCAATTCAAGAACATTTGAAGGAAAATTCAGAAAGTCAATTAAATACTCAAACAATATCTGGATGGGCAAAAAGATGACCTTGACGCAAAACATTCTCTGTGTGAACGAGGCAGTGGAACAGACTCAAGAAGGAGAATGGAAAGTAGCAAGGTGGACTTGGACAAATGGTCTTTAAATGAGTCTGCTTCCTCTGTTCTTGACAAAATAATCTACCTCGGACAGTTGAAAAAAAAAATTGTCCTGGTTTGTTTCTTCATTGCTGTGACAAAATACTCTGACCAATACCAACTTGGGGAGGAAAGGGTTCATTTGTCTTACATCTCCCAGGTCACAGTTCACCAGAGAGCCCAAGGTAGGAACTCAGGGCAGGAACCTGGAGGCAGGAGCTAGAGCACAGGCCATGGAGGAATGCTGCTTACTGGCTTGCTCTCCTGGCCCCTGCTCAGCCTGCTTTCTTATGCAACACAGGCCCACCTGCCCAAGGGTGGCACCACCCACAGTGGGCTGGACCCTCCCACATCACTCATCAAGAAGATGCCCCTCAGACATGGCCACAGGCCAGTCCAATAGAGAAAATTCCCCAATTGAGGTTACCTCAACCCAGGTGTGTCAAGTTGACACTAAAGCTATCCAGCACACAGATGACCTGGGTTTGATTCCCAGAACCCAAATGGTGGCTGACAACCGTCTATAACTCCAGTTTCAGGAGAATCCAATTCCCGCTTCTGACCTCCTTGGGCATTGCATAACACGAGTGCACTAACACACATGCAGGCAATGCACTCATACATATAAAATATAAAAAATAAAATATTTTTTAAAAGAAATGAGTTCAAGTTGAGAATATCTCATTTATTGCATGTTTATGACACAACACATGTTGGGGTAAATCTTTAGTCTCATCATATTTTACACTTCAGCCTTCTAAGCTTCAGAGAGTTCAACTTCTTTGTCATGAAGCTGTGAAGAATCAAAATTACAGATTTGAATCAAAACCCGTGTGGCAACAGAACCTGGGAACTTAGACACTGTTATTTTCTGAGAATGGAATTTGGTATGGTGAAAGATTTTTTTAAAAATGCACACACAGAATGTGGAGGCTTCAAGACATTTTACAGTTCAGCCTCCTAAGCTTCAGAGAGGTCAACTTCTTTGTCATGAAGCTGTGAAGAATCAAAATTAGAGATCTGAACCAAGACCCGTGTGGCAGCAGAACCTGGGAACTTAGACACTGTTATTTTCTGAGAATGGAATTTGGCATGGTGAAAGATTTTTTTAAAAATGCACACACAGAATGTGGAGGCTTCAAGTCCTATAGGCAAACATCTACCCACTTAGCTGAAGGAGGAACATGCAGGGAACTGCCTGAAATAAGGGAGGATGAGCATTAGTGGAGACGCTCTGAGTCTGTTTCCTGAATATACAGACACACACGTGTATTCAAAAATGCTCATATTGCATATCATAATTTTACTTCCTCCTCTTCTACACCCTTCACATGTTAAAATATGTGTATTTTACATAGGAACAACTGAATGAAATCACACATGCGTACAAGCAATCATAGATCTCTTTGACTAAGAGTCATTCTCTCTATGACTTGTACTTCGTCTACGTAGAAACAAAGATTGTAACAACTTAGCATGAATTTAAGCACAAGTGATAAATAAATACTGCTACATACCACTTTGCACATAAACATTACATCCAATAATCCACAACTGTGCACACAGAGATACTCATGCAGGCGCTCCATCAAACAGATCAATCAGTCATCAAATACAAACATCCTTTCAAGAAGACATTTTAGTCTAGGTAGAAACAAAGATTGTAACAACTTAGCATGAATTTAAGCACAAGTGATAAATAAATACTGCTACATACCACTTTGCACATAAACATTACATCCAATAATCCACAACTGTGCACACAGAGATACTCATGCAGGCGCTCCATCAAACAGATCAATCAGTCATCAAATACAAACATCCTTTCAAGAAGACATGATCTTCAGATCCCTAAAATCTACACCTGTCTCTCTTGCATGAAGAACTGGCTATGTAAGTCGATTCCTTCCTAAATAAATTATATTGATAGAAAAGCACACAAACACAGAGCCCTAGTGCCAGGAAATGCTTCTTCACCTTCTTCTGACATATGATGATCCTTGATGAGTTCAAATATCTTCTGCTCAAGCCTATTTCTTGAGCCCTCACTTTCTGTTCATAAGGGCTAGTGTCCAAAAAACAAGAAGAAGCTCTCCTGCCAAAGGGTCTATTGAATCCTCAGGTCTGTTTTCAAACAGCAGAAAAGTAGACAAGTTGTGCATCTACCAAAATATTAATGCCCAGGTGAAAAAAGCCCAAGTGTCTTGTGAGAAAATGAGCCGGTGTGGGCTAATGGTCCAATTTCCTGTTTTGCCCATGGGAGGGGATCTGCGAAGGGAATAGGTGGGCTGAACCACAAGAGGCACAGAAGAAAGTGTGCTTGACCTGGATGCACCAGTGAACCCATTTCATCATGGCTTCTAATGCAATTAAGTGTGGTCTAACATAATTATAGACCACGCACTGTCCCCAGACCAAGCAAGTCCTGCCGTCACACACTCCCACAACACGGATTCCATCATCTTTTACAGCTCATACCTCGTTCTGTCTCAGAATTTGTCATCTCTGCATTACTCTCAGATAGTCCATAGAGTAGATCCTAGGCCTTGTTCAGTACAT